CCCCGTCCCCACCACCACCCTTCCTACCCATGGTAATATTTACTTAGGGAAATAAAGACATTATAGAACCCTGAAATTTAAAAAAAAATATTCCAGAGATCTTAAAATAGAGTATTCAAAATATTATCAGTGCATTCATAAAGAAAGATACAATAATACAAAACAGAATCTTGTCTGATCTGAGAGGAAAATACCTGCAGATACAAAAGTGACTGACATGGAATCCATGGGGAAGTGGAAGAGGAAGAGCAAGAAGGAAGACTCCCTCAAATCTGGGGTTGGGTTACAGCCAGCACAGGGGTTGTTGACATGCTGGTAGCCCATCTCTCACACTTCCCAGTTTTCAAATTTGTCAATCCAATTCTCCACTTCACTGAATAATGGAGGAATTTCAAAAGAAATTCCAACAACTTTACTCCGAGTTCCCCCCTCAGCCCTCACTGTGCTGCTCTTTAAGTAAAACTGAAGATATTGCAACCTTTTATTTTTTACCTATTTGTCTTTCTCTGAAAGCGAAATACAAAAGTGAGTTACTTGACAAAACTGACATATCCTATGAATCCCATTATACAGCACTCTCTCTCCCCTGATGTGGCAAAGAATTTACTAGAAAGATAAATTCAAACCTCAGATGTGGATAATACTCAGTCTGTGGAGAGAAAATAGTTGACAATGGGAGAACGTGGCTTAAGCTTTTTCATCCTTCAAAGTATATCTAGAAAAACCTTTAGACTTCTACAAAATAAAATGAATGATTCATGGGCCACACTTTTAATTCCCTTAAAAAAAAAAGTAAACTGAAATGCAGATCATATTATGCTCCCACTCCTGGGCACTAAACGCGGAAATTAAAGCAAAAGATGTTTGTTGCTCTGAACCGTCTTCTTTTTCATAAGCACGGAATTCTGTGATGAGAAGACGGATTCATCCTAATTAGAGAAATCTTTTTCTTCAATATTCTTAGTTTCAGACAGATCCTGGTTTTTGCTAAAACTGAAACCATCAATCGTCTATGTATCGATAACATTCTCATTCTCCTAAAACAAAAAACGTTTCAAGTTGGAATTGCTTAGTGATGATGCTTAAAAAACATAGGAAGACTACTGAAATTGAATCTATCATTTTGTTAAGAGAAAGAAATAATAAAAAAATAAAAGAACAGGTGGATTCAGGTAGCTTATGTCATAATAATGGACAATACATACAGCACAAGTCAAGCAAGTACAACATGTATTTGTAGTGCAACTCATTATAGAGAATTTACTCAAAAGTCCTGTTCTGAGACCCATGATTCTGAGTGATCACTAAAAAGAACCCATATTGAAGTCCAATTTACAAATGGAAGTCAAATCTAATCAGAGTTGACATTCTTACAGAATGTAAAAAATATGGTGAAAATTTATTCACTACACATAAAGCAGTCAATGTTTTGATTTAATAATCTGCAAAAGAGACCTGCAGATGTATTTCCAATTATGCTGACTCTACACCCATCTACTGTAATAATATAGACATAGTTACATACACCAAAATGAAGGGGGGGACCTATAGCATAGCTCTGTAGCAATACTTGCGGGTCTAAAGTAGACCAGTACATGTTAAAAACAATTCAACATTTCACTGGTTTTTACTAAACTGACAAAAAGAGCCATTTACAATTAAAAAGGAAAAAAAAATCCTACAGACTTATTCTCATTGAAAGTTTCCTTTATTAACAGGCTTTTCAGTTTTTGAACCTTACAAGATGTTTCCTTAGGCAGATGGTACATCATATGTATTTTCAGGGTCTTTATCATAATGCAGACTTGCTTGGTCATACAATAACTCACTTGGTTTTTTATTCCATTAATGTGTGTGACCTCTTTTTTTTTTCTGGCGTATTTGAGTTCAAGTTCCTTAAGCCATCCATGAGTTTCTGGCAACGCATTTGGTCTCCACTTTATACACCTGTTTTATTTTCCAAGGGTAATGAAATGTTCATTATATATAGTAACGCACAATAAATAACTCACTGTGAACTCTAAGAGTAAGAACAGGAAGGGTGCCTATTGCATAGCAATACAGAACAGTCAAGTGAGGCGTGGGAAAGGATCGGTGCGTACAGCAACTCCACTTAATGGGATTTTCCGTGGTTTTTGTTTGTTTGCTTTCTTTCACATAATTAACACTAACAAATTCTTCCAGTGTTTATTTATTTTTTCTTAAAAAAGCAAAAGGTTTTGCTTCTTGTCTCTCTCGCTTACAGAGTAGGTGAAGCGTAGAATAAGGCCTTCCCCTTTGTTGTGGTTGTTTCAGATGCCAGTTTTAACAAACAGAACACAAACTTCCAACATGTTTGAACTAGTACCGCTTTTTCTATTAAAAACCATTTTGTGACACTGATGAGTCGAGGCTCTCTTATGTCTCCTTGATCCAACACCGACACTGTCATTGTTTTCATCGTCGTCATTGTCATTCTCATCTGGACACTCTTCCAAGAATTTTAGCTGCATTTGCACGACTTCACGATCATGTTAGAGAGTTGCTCAATCTTGGGGGTTTTGCCAACATAGTAGAGAATTGTGAGTGGTTCTAAATCCTGGGACACACAGCAAGGAGAAGCAGATGCTTCTGGATTTATGCTGTTATATAAGCCAAGAACCTGAAAAATCACACACAGGAGAGAGAACTTAGGGAAAGACTAAGACAAAGAAACAAAAGCAATTATTTAAAAAAACCGATTCCTTATTAATATCTTATCATCCACAGCACTGAGTGCCAAACCCAAATCAAGCATGCTGCGGTCTGACTGGTCAATTCTGACTCATGATGACTCTCAAGTGTTACCCAGGGTAGAGGTCCCAGGGTTTCCTTGGTTGTAACCTTTACAAAGTAGGTTGCAGATCCCTCTTCTGTGATGTTATGTTAGAAGTCCCATACCACCTGGGAGCCTCCTAGCACAGAGGAGACCATCTGAATTACTTGGGGGTTTGAATCTTGCTTTCCTGAATTCCACATCAAGGTAAATGCCTAGTTGTCTCTAGCGGTCCTTGAACTGAGCACTTTCACACTGAATCCTTTTCTTGTACATTGTAAGTAAACGGATCCTGCAAAAGTACGGGTGGGCAAAAATTGCTCATTCAACAGATGTCCCAAAGCTTTCAAAAGTCCCTTGACTATGCTCACTGATACGCGGCATATACTTCCTTCCCCGGTTCCTCATAAAATGTGATCCTTTCAATAACCAAGTGTGATCCTGTCAAATGTGATCCTCTTGTTTCTACCCTTCTTTGTAACTTAAATTGGTTCACAGTTAAACATCTGTCCTCACTTATCAACTATCTCATTATCTGAAAATTTTAATTTATAATAATAATAATAAAAGACCAGGGCTATTTGGTTCATTAAAGATATACACTTGGTAGAAATGAATGCTGGTATGCTGGGGAAGAGTAATCCTGGCTGTGATGATTAAGGTTATGTGGGAACTTGCCTGTGGGCCATGATTCTTAGTGGTTTGGCAGTCATGTAATGATGCCACTTGGCTGTTATGTAGTGATGTAGTCATCCTCCATTTCCTAATCTGATGCTCTCTTCCAATTTTGCATCAGGCCAATTTTCACATAATGATCTGATCTTTGGAACCAAACCATGCTGATAAGGGGAAAGCAGCTGTACATTTTTATATCCTACTGTCAGTAAGAGTTCTCTTGAGGTCAGGGACTCAGGAGACGACTTTACGTCATAGCCCTAGTAAATCTCTCTCGACAAGTTTTGGTGCTAGGTGAGGTAATGAATATATGGGTAGCAGATGAATCCAAATTTTGACTAATCGGGGCTTTAGTTTCCCTTATGTATGAAAAGTAACCCGGAGTGGGGGAGGGGCAATAAAAAAGAGGAAGGCCCTGAAGGAGATGGGTTGGCACAGTGGCTGTAACCATGAGCTCAGGCAGAGGAACGATTGTGAGGATGGTGCAGAACGAGGTGGTGTTTCAGTCCCCTTTTGGCACAGGGTTGCTATGGGTTGGAACTACTCTGTGGCACCGAATGACAACAGCATGCGTTTCAAAACAGCCACTTTTCTTCCATGAAGACTCTGTCTATTCTAAGTATCGTTTCAGGCCAATTAATGTCACCTGAATTTTCATTAGAAAAGTTTGAATGTTACTGAGAAAAGTCTTTTCTTTATGTTTACTCCATTAATACAATGATGATAAAGGTGGGCGTCAAAGGCCGTCTATGCTCCAGGGGTGGGGACTAGCCTCGCTGTCAGACAGAGTGTGTAGGAAAGTGGACTCATGCTGATGCAGTTAGGTTCACATTTAAGCACATCGTTTGCTCTCCCTTTTGACTCAATTTAAATTTGTTCAAGCTTTTATTATTTCCTGCTCTCTTTTAGATTTAGGTGTTTATGTTTGATTTTGTTATTGTTGTTGAGTAGAGTTGTATTTCTTTTCTTTAGATGAAATCCAAGATTGGAAAATCTATAGAGATGGTAACTGGATTATTGGTTTCTTAGGGGGATGGCAGGGGAGGTTGGCAGGGCAGGGGAGCTAATAATAATGAATTCAAGAATGAAGAAAATGTTCTTAAACTGATTGTAGTGCTGACTCTTTTTAACGTGTTTAATGAAACCACGGAATTACACGGTGTATGAATTATATGTCAATAAAACTATTAAACATTTTGAAAGCAATCTATATTATTAATCAGCTCCTACACATTGCGTACAAGCAACAGCAACAATACTAAGAAACCCTTCCTTACGCTTTCTATATGGTAACTGGTCATGGCTGAGTTAGAGGAGTGGATGGCCGATCTTCAAGGAAAATGTAGAAAAATTTTATCGGTCTTGTACCTTTGACTCCATGCTTTATCAAAGGGGTGTGTGACTTTTGCCAGTGGAAGTATGTAGGTTACCACTGATGATACAGAGACATTTCCAAGGATGCCATTAATGCGTTAGTCAAACAGCAAAATGCTCTTTTCCTCGAAATTCATAGCAATTTTAAAAAAAACGTAAGACAGAAGATCTGTTCAGCGCAGCAACACTGACTACTTTATTAAGCTACCTCTGGCTTCTTGGGGAACTGTCCAAACCACATATTTGTGACCATGACAGTTATTCTTCCTCTCTCCCTGAAAAACAAGCACGGTCTCAGGCTTCACACACTCCCTCTGTGTATCAGGGAAGAGAATTATGTTTCGACTTGGCAACCAGGCCTTGCCCGCATTACGGCTACTGCTGACACTGCCCAGAAGAGACAGCCGAGCCAGAGAGCCCAGACAAAGGGAGCGGCAAGAGCAAGCACCTCTCACATGGCCAAGCACGTGGTTACCCCACAGTGCCAAGTCTACAGGGGAGTTGGGAAAACAGATGAAGGAAGGGGAGCCATATTTGTCAATTTAAAGTCCAGCATATGTAGGCACTTATAAATAAATACACTTCATATTTCACTAGCACATGATTTTTCATGTGAATAAAACAGGAATTCTAGAATACAGATTGTCCAAAATAAAGGATAACCCCCGAGCTCCTGAATTTGGCTGAGCGCATTATGTGAGCTTTCTGGCAGCAGATTCATTTTCCTACCCTGCAGTGAAGGCAAAATTTCTAATGCCTCTCTAATAGGGAGATTTACAGAGGTCTAATCAAGAACAGAAAAGAAACCCCAATGTATGGCCACAATTCAGGATAAACATCAGCGAGTCGCAGGAAATAAAGTCCTGGTTACAAAGCAACCCACTCAAGCCCACTGCCTTCAAGTCACTTCTGACTTGCAGTAACCCGTCAAGCGTTTCTGGGACTGTAAGTCTTTATGGGCAAAGAGAGCCTCAACTTTCTCCTGTGGTGCTCCTGGTGGGTTCGAACTGCTGACCTGTGGTTCGTCACCCAAAGAATAACCTATTTTGTTATCAGGGTCTTTTTTTTTTGGTCACCAATTTTCTGATTGATCTTGGACAAGTGATCTATATTCTCCAGACCCCCATGTCTTTGAAAACATGAAAGGTTTCGATAAGATAACTTACAAAGGCCTACCCACCCCTAAATTCCACATGAATACACACAACACAATGCCACTGTTATTATTGTATGTTGTTGAGTAGATCCCACATCATTGTGACCCTATATTGTCCCATAAGGTTTCCTAGGCTGTAATCTTGGTTAGCAGGTTGCCATGTTTAAGTTAACAGATACTTGTTTCAAACCCATTGCACCCCCAGGACTTTTCTAATACAGTTAAAAAAGATTTTTTAAGTTGTTGTTGAATTTATTTTAACTCTTGATGACACCATGTGTGTCAAAGGACAACTTTGGTCCATCGGGTTTTCAATGGCTAATTTTTCTAAAGTAGGTAACCAGGTCTTTATTCTGAGGGTCCTCTGGGGGAACAAGAACTCACAACTTTTCAGTTAGCAGCCAAGCACATTAACCATTTGCAACACATGTGGAATCCACCATTATTATATTGGACAAGTGTTGGTGGATCTAAGCTGGGAACTTGTAACGTACAATCAAGAACTTGCCTTCAGAATTAGCCCTCTATTCTGATTTGAGTCACTTGATAAAATATTCAGATTCTCATTTGTTTGGGGTATACTAAAATATTTTTATATTAATCTTCAAATTACTGAAGAAGACTCTTTCATGCGTATCGTATTTCATTCTTCACATCCACTTTCAGGCTGTTATTTTATTTTTTATTTCAGGCTGTTATTTTAAAGATAATTTTTAATATATACATTCCTTTCTCCCGATAAGAAATTCAGGTTCAGAGATGTCAACTTGCCTTTTATAGTCATACAGCAGTAAATCTCAAAATAAAGCATCAATTTAAGTCATGTGTGCTCTTCTTAATATGATAGTTCCTTATGTAGCAATAACTATTTTGGTTTTTTGTTTGTTTGTTTTTTTAACCATGGAAACCCACATCCCTTCACATCTGAATCGTCTGATTCATTCCAAGGTTGTTGTTATTACTGATTTACTGGCTACCTATTCATGCTTACAGGTGTTAAAAATATAAAGCGAGGAGGGGGAAAATGAGTCAAGTTGCTAAGAATCTAATTGGGAAAGCAAGACTTAGTGTTTCAAATTGATTGGTGCTACTTTCTAATACTATCTTCAGCTTAAATTCTTCTTCATCGTTCAAAATAATTTATCTACCATCTAGTCACACATGATCATGAAAGGGAACCATCCTCATTTGAATTCACTTGGAAACAGGAGCAACAGGACCTGAGAATAGGAAGGACAAGTTTGAGAAATACTTACCCTACTGTGCTGAGTGTCTGAACTCCACAAATAGGGGCACGCACCAGCACAGAAGTTAGCATTGTACCCTTTAGGCTCGTGGATCCACTTCCACCCAAGATCCCTCTTGAAATCAATGTAAAGTGGACGTAGGCAGCAATTATCCTGCACATTACTGTTAGAAGAAATAACATTGAAGACTTTAAACCTGGTTTCCCCCTTCACCTCAATCTGGAAAAATAACTCATTCATTAATTCAACCAACATCTCCTAAGTATGTTTTATAGGTCAAGCTTTGATGGGCTTCAGTGACTTTCATGATAAGAAACCATGGTAATTCACCAGAGAGGCTTCCCTCATGAGCTCTATGTCTCAGTATATGTGCCTGAGACCTGGAGAGTCAAACGTTTACTCTCAAAGAAACAAATATAAGCAGAGAGAAGGCTGCAAGAGAGCAAGTCATTTTTGCTCAGCACTGAGAAGTCTTGCCATCAAACCTTTATTATCAAATAGAAAATTATTACCAACACTTTTTTTCAAATAGAAAAATGAATGAAGTACAGTAACTGTACTTGAAGAACTAGCTTAGGCCTTTTTCTTTGAGACTAAATCTTATTCTTTCACCCCAGGTTCCTTGATCTGGGAATGAGCTAGAGCTGTAGAAACGATGGAGTCATCCTAAGTAGGCCAGTGGCAGCCATGATTGGCCATTGTATTCCTCAACTCTGACATCTTAGGTATTTTTTTAGCGATGGCCCATACCAGTTGCCATTGAATACATTCGGACTCATGGCCACTGCATGTGGACCAGAACAGAACTGTTCTCCCTAGCATTTCCAATGGCTGCTTTCCCCCAAAGTAGATCACCGGGCTTTTCTTCTGGGCTTTCTTTGAGTAGACTAGAACCTACAACCTTTGGGCTATCAGCCAAATGTTAACCATGTGCATCACCAGGGATCTCCACTACCCCATAAGTCTCAAAAAAGGGGTCCTCCTGCTACCAAACTTGAATCCATGGAAAAGGATTCAATCTCTAGGAATCCATGGGAAACAGTCGCACTCTCCCACCATACATTCTCACTGGAATGGAAAGGAGATTCTCCTCGTTCGGAACCCCCGCTCCTCTCCTATTTGGCTCTGGTTCTGTGAGAGGGGTCTGATGGGGGCATGCTAAAGTGAGGGAAAATGCTTCATCCAGATAGTGCAGTCTCCCCTTAATTAAGGAGCTGCTATCAAGCACTTCAAAGAAACTTTCAATTGCTCGGAGGCAGCAAATAGCTTTCTCTTCTTCAGCTAGAAGATTTAAGAGAGAAATTCGAGGGATGCAAGGAGCTCATGTCCACCCCTCCCATCCCCTTCATAGTTGAGTCATTACCGAGGAGCACAGGAGTTTCTGTGGTTAGTTGCCACTGAGGTCATGCTGACTCATGGCGATCCCTGTGCTACAAAGCAGAACTGTTCCACAGAGTTATCAAGGCCACCATCTTCAAGGAAGCAGCTCCCTAGGCTTTTTCTTCTCTGGCATCACCTGGTAGGCTCGAACTGCTAACCTTTCAATTAGTAATGGGCCATAGGGACCATAAAGAGCTGGTGAAACCAACACAGAAATAATTGTTTTAAGCCTCTGGAAGAGAAGATGTTATGAGATAATGATAGCTAACTTCTCCCAAACCTGGCTGGAATTGGAATACACATGTTCCCATCCTAGACAATATGTATCACAAGAGAGGGCAAAAGCCGTTAGCAGAAACCATGCCTTTACCTAAAGCAGTAGGCAGCATCCAGGGCGCGCTTCTTCCGTCGGTTGGACTGTTGAGCCTCAAGTCTGTAGGAGGGCAATAACATTAGCAGGAGATGGGGGGTCTTCCCACTGGTTTTTTTCCTAGTGGACTTTATAGTTTTCTGATCACCACTGGTATATGTGGAGGTGCCATCAATACCTTGAAAAAATGCATTTGGGTAATAAACATTTAGCCTTATCTTCATCAAAAATCATCAGCTATATATATATTTTTTCTTTTGCATATTGTCACAAATAACAGTGATGACCACCCGAGCAGCATCAGCTGGTTATTGTCAACCACCCCGCTCCCCTGCTCCCACTGTCCCCATGGAAATACATATGGTAAAAGAGGACTACCACAAGAGACAAATGACACTTCTCAATGGTCAGAAAGACAGTCCATGTCAAAGGAAGTGCTGGCTGGTACTCAAAATCACGGCAGGGTAAGTCTTTGGCCTGGAGCCCGAGGGCAACCTTATTGTTGCCATCAGTTGCCCTCCCATGGGTTCTAAGGCAATCTAGGCAGTTTAGTTTAGTCAATATTTGAGCAATACTTTAGCCGATATTTGGTCAGTGTTTCCAGAAGTAGTCAACACTGCCACCTGGGGATCCTAGAACAATCCAGGAGGCGCTGCCAAAACAGATACCTACACTTTATCCTAGATGATGGACAGCAGTACAAAATATTTTAATTGCCAGAGTGGGGCACTGAGTAAATTTTTTTCTGAAAAGGGGATTGGTAGGCCAAATCAGTTTGGGAATCTACAGTTTAGGCTATGTTTTCCCCTGCACCAGTGAAGGCATGCCAATAGAACACGCCTCGTCACCCTGCTGGCTCACAGTCTTCCTGAGATGGCGCAAGTCAAAAGTATTCCCTAAAGAGCATACGCCGAGATGCCCACTAAATGGCAGTGAATTGGGTTCAAGTGCAATAGCAGTCACACTCACCGACTGCTATTTGGGGAAACTGTGAAGAAAGGGCTTTTTCATTTATTTTATGGTGTCCTCAACACTTTCCTGATTCCATCTGATTTAGAAACTCGAGCTCTCCAGAGCATGCTCAAGAGACTGCCGGTTTAAGCATTTAACCCCCACACATGAGAGAATCATGACTAGGTTAGAGACTGAAATAAATCTCTAGCCCTCTGGGAGTGTTTTTCTATGTGCGAGGGCCACTGTGGTCCTTTGAAAGTGGATGGAGGTCCCCGGCGGTGTGAGTTAAGGGGGAGGGAACCCACTCCCTGACTTGACAGTGCAGAGCCGATACTACATTGGCCACATGGCACAGAATCCTTCGCCCCTTCTACACGTCACAGACTAATGATCTAATATGAGAAGCGACTTGCACCCTTGGCATCTTCCTGACCTTTGGGAATTCAATAAATGGGAGCAAGGGGAGAGGGAAATCCAAATCTTGTTGTGTGTATGATCACAGGTTGGTGAGGAAGCTCCTTCAGATATTGAGCACAAGCTGGAAACGGTGGACTGTTTCGGTACATGTCAGTGTAATGTAATGATGGAGGCTGAGGTGAAAGAGGGGCTTCCTTCTCTTGTGAGACACAGTCTAGTGTCCCTGACACTGAGTTTGCAAGATCACCAATGGATTACCTTGCCTGCAGAAGTGTACATTTGAATTGCTTATATGAAGAGAAAAAGGTTTCACTGACTATTGATAATTTAATGGAGGGTTAATAAGTCAGTAAGTTAATATTGACCAAGTTTACCACGGACATTGATCATTATAAACTGGGACTCAATCCCTTTTTTACAGCCCTTCCCAATCTCATATTTCCTTCCCTAACTATATTTTTGCCCAAAGGAAATCCTCCAAGCCTCCCCAAACAATCCCACTTCCACATGCAAACTGGCTTCCTCCCCTCTGAAACGATCAACTCAAACTATGCTCTTTTCTTCATGTCCGTTTAGGATCAAGTTTTAATTACCTGCAAATCTTGCTTCTAGTTCTTCACTTTTATTTGGGATGATGTAATTGTTGGATGGTACAAAGGTACAGCATGGACAGTGCAAACTTATTTTAAATCCCAAGTTCCTGTCTGGAAAATATGAAGTCAAGGAGGTCATTGTTGTGTGGGTGTGTGTCTATACAATCAACATGCAATAACTTAGGATCACGGGCTATCCAGGATGGAAAACAGAAGTGTGGTTGGTAACCTTTATGGTGAAGCCATTCGTGCACAGCCTCGGTTACATCAAAGGAGAGCCATTCGCCTTCAGCTCTGGTTTTCACCACTTTGCTGTCGATGTAGCGCTGAGTTGGGGATGTTAGATCTTTGGATTTCAGAATCTAGAAGGGGGAAAGAGCAAGGGGAAATGCTCAGTTGGCATAATGACAGCATGACTAAGCCAAAGCCATGAAGTGTGTCCTGATCCACTGTCCTAATTTCGCTCCACTCTAGTCTGCATTGTCATCTCCACAGCAGGGTCTCATGCCTACAAAACATACCACCAGCCCATTTGCCATGAAAATATGTCTACTAAATCAGCAGCAAGTTAAGATAAAGGTGACAGGAGCCATAGAGCCAAGTGTCTAAAGAAAAGCAACAGTAATGATTTTACTTTGCTCACATAAGCTGTGCATGATTTCAACCATAAATTCTATGCTATTAAGTTAATGGTTGTGTTACTCTGCTTTCCTATGTATTCAATTTGAGGAGCTAGGATGTGGGGAGGCTCAAGAGGAGAAGCCCAGTTCAGAGAGCCCATGTTCACCCAGTGACATAATTCAGTGACAACCATGAATTATAAATCTCCTTCTACGACAGAGAGAAAGGACTTCTAACTTCAGTGCTAATTTCGATGACATGAAAATGCTTGCCATGCCTCAGCTTTTGAGGAGAACCTCTAGCTGTGACTTTCGCTCCCAGCATGACTTGTTATGATGTATAAAGGCATTCCATAGCCCACAGACAAAGAGTGCATTTGGGGCGGGGCCGCCTGGCACTGCGTGCAGAGGAGAGTCTGAAAGCGAAGTAGCCTGAAGACGGAAGACCTCAGGAGGCTGCTTTCACTGTAAATACATAAAAAGCGACTGCAGCACGCTCTCAGATTTCTACCGGAGGTGAACATGCTCGTTTGTTTTGTTTTGATTCTGTCTTTAAATGATAGCGCTGCATGAATCAGTCAAACCACAACACCAAGTCTCCTGCAGCAGCATTAAATCCTTACTCAAACCCTGTATCCTGTCTTTCCTCAGTACTTTGGGGCTTAAGCCCTACTGTTTTACACTGCCCTTCCTGTTATCCATCTAACTATTCTGTGGTTGCTTCGTGCCTATAAGTTTGGTCTCTCCAAAACGTTCATTAACTTCCCCAGGGTAAGGATTTGCCTTCAATTTGATATCATTTCAAAGAACAGCACTCTACTCAATCAATACGTATTAAATGAACATTTAGAAGATTTATTAATTCTCCTCTAGGCCTCATAAGACAAAAATCTATATCTTTCCATTGATTCTAAAAAGCACTTTCCTTTTGTGATTTGTTGCAGGTAATTTGGCCTCCAATGCTTCCTGGAACTCTTGGCACTAGAGCAGACATTTTCTGGATTAAGTAAATGTAGAAAAGGAAGGATATTTCATACCACTGGGCTCTGTGGGTCCCCTCCTAAATTTTAGACAAATTCTATACCCCTATCCCTAACGTTCAACTAACTAGATGAAGAGAATCTATAAGTAATTGTGACTGTACCACCAACAAAAGATGATCTTTGTGAAATAAAGGAAGTAAATTAGCATGACTTGAGAGTTAGGCACATTGACTTGATATGTGCTATTGTCCACCAGCCCCCCATTTTAGATTAAGGAAACAAAAACTGAGGGAGGCTAAGTAACTTTCTCCATCACTTCCCAGGAACCAGTGTGGAGAGAAGGTCCAAAGCAACCCCGAGTCATGTCCTAATGCCAACATCAGGGTTGCTGTGTGTTTGGTTTGGTGTTTGAGATCACAATCCACACGTCAATCATATCGAGCATATTTGTACAAATGTTGCCATCATCATTTTCTAAACATTTACTTCCTATTAAACCCTTACTATTAGCTCCTCTTTTCTCCCTCCCTCCCCACCACCCTCATGACCCCTTCATAAATTATAAATTATTACAATCCACACATCCATCATGTCAAGCACATTTGCACGCATGCTGCCATCATCATTTTCAAAGCATTTTCTTTCTACTTGAGCCCCTGATACCAGCTCATTTTTCCCCTCCTTCCCCTGCCTGTCCTCCCTCCTGAACGCTTGATAAGTTATAGATTATTATTTTCATATCTTATATCATCCTCTGTTGCCCTTCACCCACTTTTCCATTGTTCGTCCCCCTGGGAGGAGGTTATATGTTGATCCTCGTGATTGATTCCCCCTTTCTCCCCCCACCCTCCCCTAATCCTCCTGGTATCTCTGCTCTCATTTTTGGCCCTGAGGGTTTCATCTATCCTGGATTCCCTGTGTGTGGGCTCTTATCAGTAGCAGTGTGCATGTTCTGATCTAACCTGATTTGTACGGTAAAACTGAAGTCATGATAATGGGGGGAAGGAAGCATTAAAGAACTAGAGGAAAGTTGTGTGTTTCATTGGTGTTATACTGCAGCCTGACTGGCTCATCTCTTCCTTGTGACCCTTCTTTCTGTAAGTAGATGTCCAGTTGTCTACTCCACAACGGTCCCATTCACATGGGGTATGATTTTGTTCTGGGTCTTAAATGCCTGATACCTGATCCCATCAACATCTCCAGATCACACAGACTGCTGTGCTTCTTCCATTCCATGTGGGCTTTGTTGCTTCTCCGCTAGATGGCCACTTGTTTATCTTCAAGCCTTTAAGATCCCAGACATTTGACACAATGGATGAATGTATGGATTGTGATAAGGGATGTAAGAGCCCCCAAAGACACTATTTAATTAAAAAAATTTTTAATGATGGTGGCAACTTATGTACAAATATGCTTGATACAACTGATGTATGGATTGTTGTAAGAGCCCCCAATAAATGATATATGAAAAATTATTAATTATTATTATTATTTTCATATCTTACACTGACCTCTGTCTCCCTTGCCCCATGGTTTCTGTTGTTTGTCTCCCTGGGTTGGCGGAGGGGGAAGGTGCAGTTATATGTAGATCATCACGATCAGTTTCCGCTTCTTTCCCTCCTCTCCCTACCTCCCCCTATCCTCCTGGTATCGCTACTCCCATTCCTGTTCCTGGAATCCATGTGTTGTAAGCTGTTATCTCTTATCTGTACTTGTGCACATGCTCCAGTCTAGCGGAAGTGAAGGGTAGGACTGGGGTCATGATAGTAGGGGTGAAGAAGCCTCAAGGAACCAGAGGGACACTGTGTTCTATTGTGCACATCTGTGCTCTATTGCACCCTGGTTGACTCAGCCCCTCCTTGTGACCCTTCGGTGAGGGGGTATCCCATTGACTACAAATGGGTTTGGGGGTCTCTGCTCCAACCCCCCTGTTCTCAACAATACGGTTTGTTTTTTTCTTGTTTGTTTGTTTTGGTCTTCTGATGCCTGTTACCCAATCCTGTTGACACCTTGTGATCTCACAGGCAGGGCTTTTGAAGGCTGAGAGCATGGGAGGAATGAGCTGGATTATCATTTGCCTCTATCTCTTTCTACAAGGAGCTCTGATGGTGCAGTATTTAAAGTGCTAACTGAAAGGTCAGTGGTCCAAACCCACCAGCTTCTCTGTGGGAAAAATATGTATTCTTCTGCTTCAGTAAAGCTTGGCAGCTTTCAAAATCCTCTGGAGAAGTTCTCTAAGGTGGATATAAGTTGAGATCAAATCGATAGCAACAGGTGCCACAGTCCAGTGGGCAGATAAATATAAACAGGAAAATCTGTGGAAATTCCTTTCCTCATAGTGAAGGTGTAAATTGAGATGATTTCACTTTAACAACAGAACAGAGAGCCAACGAGACTCTGAAGCTGCTTGTCTTTAAAATCACATTAGGAAATGAAGGGAGCAGGCCTTTGACTGCAAGTCACTGGTCAGCTCCCACAATAGATAACTCCATACTACCACATGGGTGAAAGGTCCCCTAGACCAAGAACAGACTGGCTAGTTATACAATTCTGAAAGAGAGAAATAACTTTTGTCCTACGGATTTGTTGTCTTGAACTGTACGGTCAACGAATTCTTTAACCCACTTGCTGGGATTTACCACCCTTGTTCCTTACCCAGTCCTCACTGGGAACAGGAAGCAGCCGTCTTTTATCACTAGTAGAATATCCCTGTATTCTTAGAGACTACTATTAAGACCCCCTCATCTCAGGCTCGTTCCATCTCTAAGCTAAATAAACCCAGTTACTTTAGCCCATATTTAGAGAGGCACTTTCCCAAACCTTTAATCATTTGGGTTGCTGACAAGGATGAATGATGCTACCAAAAAAAGTACTCCTCCTGCAGCGTCATGATTTTGTTACATAACGAGCTAGAGAGCCTCCTAATCACATCTTAAAGTCTCAAATCTTAACATGAAGGGTATGTTCTTCTTAAGAATAGGCACAAACTCCTCACTCGGCATTTATCTTCCATTATCTCCCACATCAAATTAAACCTGAAGGCATGGAAAAATCAACCTGCTGCTATTATCTCATGGGACTTCCTTAAATTGAAAAGCTTAGACAAAAAGTGACCAGATCCATCAACTTCCCATCCTGTTTTAGCCTCTGCTCTCCCTAGCTCCTTGCTGGAAAGTTACTCTCTAGCATACACCAAGGAGTCCTGATAGTGCAGTGGTTAAGTGGTCTGCTGTTATAACCACAAAGGTGTTGGTTCGAACCCTGCAGCTGTGCTGAGGCTGAACGACGTGACAGTCCACTTTTGTAAAGATTCACACAGACCTAGACCCCTCGTGGAGCAGTTCTGCTCCATCACCCGTATTCCCTTGAGGAAAGACAGCCATAAAATCATAAAATAATATGATAGAAAATATAGAAGGAGGTTGTGCTCATGTTGCTTGCCAATTATGCTTATAATGGGGAAAGGCATTTACAGGCCATCTACTCTGTTCTAGTACAATTCATTCTCAAACATCTGTATCTTTGTCTGAAGAGTTCTCGTGATAGAGAGGAAGGTCGCCTTATGGTCAAGTCGTTGGAATTATTCTTTCCATTGAACTTAAAATCTTGCATCAGAGAACCTTAGCTAAGTCATTCCTGGGTGACACAATCAGCTAAGTATTCCACTACTAATGGCAAGGTTGGCAGTTCAAACCCACCCAGACGTGCCCCAGAAGAAAGGCCTGCTTCTGAAAGATCATAGTCATAAGAACCCCTTTG